CCGATGAATTTTTTTGCGATTACTTCGCTATTTCCCAACCGATTGTAATAACTTATAGTGCTTATTCTAAAGATAAGCGAAGCAATCGCAAGAATTCGCCGGTCAATGAAACCTTAAACAGACAGAATATTGTTTGAATTATGACATATTAAATGATTGCCTGCCACCATATTTTTATGCTTAAAATGAAATATGGAAGAATTGTATTGAAATTGGATATAGCATTAGTTGATCAGCGAATCATGATGAACCTTTTGTAAACTAAACTGTAGGTTCGACCTAACCGTGCAATTTTGATGCATATGAAAACTCAATTTAGGCCTACCGGTGTATTTAAAGCTGCGTGTTTGACTTGTCGTCGAACCACGTAGGCAGCAATACGGGATGGCTCAGGTGGATGATTATGTTGCATGTATTGCCAAACTACATGATCGTCAGTAGCGTGAAACCTTGCTTTGCAGTTTTTTGGTCTTCGAAGCACACACTCCCATGACCTGTTGCCATTAGCCAGCAGTTTTGCATAGTAATAGTCGAAGCCATCAAATACAAGTCTTTCGGCTCCTCGTTGAGTAGAAACAAACTGCATCTGAAAGAATATTTAGGCTAGTTACTGTACATTAACTAATTCATAATTAAAATAAAAGGGAACTGCAGTGCACCCAGAAGTTTGCCTTGGTAAAAACATACATTAGAAATTTTCTGTGTGGGCATTGCTGAACTGTGATCTGTCAATTCAAAAACATGGGGTTACATTGGCCCCCATTTACGAAATGCTCACACCTTTTTACCATAAATGTAATAACACACAGGTAAAGGGCATAGCGTAATAGGCCTAATCAATATATTTTTAGTCTAATGCATTGTAAATCAGAATAATCCAAGTAACATTGGTACCCATACAATATTATATCTGATGGGCCCAAATCTTACCCATACTGATTTGTGGGCTTATTTTGATCACAAAACACCCACCCACTTAACTTGATCATATATTAGTAAAAAATGATTAAGGGGTGAAAGGGGCTATGTTTTAGGGCTTGCCTGAAAGGTTAGGCTATACCTCCCAATGTAAATATGTGGGAGTTATAAACAAATTAAAGAGCCATCCGTCCCCGTTCTATTACTGAGCATTCGGACTAGTGGGTTTACTCACTGAAAATACCCACATTAACGAAACATTATAACTTATATAAACATACAAACCTTAGAACCTCTTTTAGAGAGAGCTGGTGTTGGCTAGACTTTAGTGTGGGACAGTGTTGTTTATCACCCACCCATATTTTAATTGAATTTAATCATTCTTATTATTGAATTCCATGCACGATTTCCCCGGCTTGAAAATTTGGAACTCTGAACATTCGTGACACTTACCGTTAAAAAAGGATCGAAGAACCCTGCATCTTGCCTCGAAGAACCCTGTGAAGAAGGCCGCGAAGAAGGCCACGACGAAACGGATACTGCACGTTTCACTTTCCTTTATCCTTTGAACTTTTTTTTCCGACGAATAAACAAAATATAGCACAGGGCATAGGCCTATATGACCTTATTATGCCTATATTGAAGATAAATTCTGAAAACAGTAACAATTTAGTTAGTAAACATGTACGCCACCAAAGAGCCATTGCTAGCTCTTCGCATCAAATATTTACCACAATCATAACTTTTTTCTTCTTCTATCAATTCATGCCCTCTGTTTTTAATATTTTTATAATGGGAGCAAACATTGGGCGCGAACTGCCCGGGTGCGAAATTTCCGGATGGCAGTTTTCCTGGATGTGAATCGTCCTGGTGTGAAGTATCCGGGTGTGAAATGTCTCGGGTGGAAGTTTTCCTAGGTGGAATTTGTCCTGGGTGCAAAGTGCCCGGGTGCGAAATGTCGCGGTGGGAAATTGTCCTAGGTGGAATTTGTCCTGGGTGCAAAGTGCCCGGGTGCGAAATGTCTCGGGTGGAAGTTGTGCTGATGTGAATAGTCCTGGTGCGAAATGTCCTGATGGCAATTGGCTGGGCGGGAAGTGTCCGGGCGGGAATTATCTGGGTGCGTAATGTCCGCGCGCGAAGGTGACAAACACACCAAAATGATCAGAAACACAATGATTAATAACTCCACATTTCTCAATTGAACTATCTTGCGCGTGCGTAATAAGAAGATCAAGAATATGACACTGCTTGTGAGTGGTTTCATAAATATGCTGAACCAAGTTGTGAGAATCTAAAAGTTCCAAAAACTGTTTATATTGTCACAAGGCGGATGGACTCACTAACGCTTTTTATCAATGATTAAGATCTCAAAGCTTTCATAGCATGGTGTCTGGACACCGCCAACATTTCCTTTCGCGCGATTAAGTTTAACCATCTTTCCGTTACCACAAAAACATCCAAATCGTTGTCGGTAATGTAAGTATTTAATTCTGTTAGTTTATTTCGAACTGATCTTGCATTTAGTAGGCAAAAGTTGAAAGAATTACTGTTGGATATGGGTTCAGTTTTTTCTGGTTTACTGGTTGTTATAGGCGTGAGATTGTTCAAATTAACACCCTTTACAGAAACTCACCTTGATGAGGTTGAGATCTAGGTTGCCATGTAGATGACTCTGTATTCCCATTCCCTCAACTGGTATTCCTTTAGATAGAAGATATTCCGCCTGACCCCGGTATGCCTGTAATATAGAAAATAATTCTTGCACTATCACTGAATAAAACCACTGCCATAGGACTTGAAATAAAATCAATGGAAGTCATACGTTCAAGGGAGATAATAGAAAAAACCATTTAGGTTTAGATTATCTGAGACTTTCGGACAATAAAGGCTAATGTCTTATAAGTTGAAATAAAAAAAAAATGATTAAATCGCCAAATTAACTCTCTGTCAGCAAACTGCAATAGATTTGATGGTCGCAAATTCTGACTGCTCGGATGGACTACAGGAACATGAGTTTTATTGCGGTCAAAAAGCTCGGGCCCGTTCCAAACTACAATGTCAAGCTATTACGAACTTCGTCTTATACCTTGAATGCAATAGCAACCTTTATTGTATCAAGGAATTCTGTTGGGGGCTCTGATTGGCGATATTCGCTAACGTACAATCTAAATAAAACGCAGAATTTACAAACTTATGTGATACAAGAATACAATAGAATTGCAGTGAAAGTTCAGGCGAAGTTCGGGATATAAGTTGAAATAGCTTGATATAAGTTGTAATAGCTTGATATAAGTTGTAATAGCTTGATATAAGTTGTAATAGCTTGATATAAGTTGTAATAGCTTGATATAAGTTGCAATAGCTTGATATAAGTTGTAATAGCTTGATATAAGTTGCAATAGCTTGATATAAGTTGCAATAGCTTGATATAAGTTGTAATAGCTTGATATAAGTTGCAATAGCTTGATATAAGTTGCAATAGCTTGATATAAGTTGCAATAGCTTGATATAAGTTGTAATAGCTTGATATAAGTTGCAATAGCTTGATATAAGTTGCAATAGCTTGATATAAGTTGCAATAGCTTGATATAAGTTGCAATAGCTTGATATAAGTTGCAATAGCTTGATATAAGTTGTAATAACTTGATATAAGCTTGATATAAGTTGCAATAGCTTGATATAAGTTGCAATAGCTTGATATAAGTTGCAATAGCTTGATATAAGTTGCAATAGCTTGATATAAGTTGCAATAGCTTGATATAAGTTGTAATAACTTGATATAAGCTTGATATAAGTTGCAATAGCTTGATATAAGTTGTAATAACTTGATATAAGCTTGATATAAGTTGTTATAGCTTGATATAAGTTGTAATAGCTTGATATAAGTTGCAATAGCTTGATATAAGTTGCAATAGCTTGATATAAGCTTGATATAAGTTCTAATAACTTGATCTAAGTTGCAATAGCTTGATATAAGTTGCAATAGCTTGATATAAGTTGTAATAGCTTGATATAAGTTGTAATAACTTGATATAAGCTTGATATAAGTTGCAATAGCTTGATATAAGTTGTAATAGCTTGATATAAGTTGTAATAGCTTGATATAAGTTGCAATAACTTGATATAAGTTGCAATAGCTTGATATAAGTTGTAATAGCTTGATATAAGTTGTAATAGCTTGATATAAGTTGTAATAGCTTGATATAAGTTGCAATAGCTTGATATAAGTTGCAATAGCTTGATATAAGCTTGATATAAGTTGTAATAGCTTGATATAAGTTGTAATAGCTTGATATAAGTTGCAATAGCTTGATATAAGCTTGATATAAGTTGCAATAGCTTGATATAAGTTGCAATAGCTTGATATAAGCTGTAATAGCTTGATATAAGTTGTAATAGCTTGATATAAGTTGCAATAGCTTGATATAAGTTGCAATAGCTTGATATAAGCTTGATATAAGTTCTAATAACTTGATATAAGTTGTAATAGCTTGATATAAGCTTGATATAAGTTGTAATAGGTTGATATAAGCTTGATATAAGTTGTAATAGGTTGATATAAGTTGTAATAGCTTGATATAAGTTGTAATAGCTTGATATAAGTTGCAATAGCTTGATATAAGCTTGATATAAGTTGCAATAGCTTGATATAAGCTTGATATAAGTTGTAATAGCTTGATATAAGTTGTAATAGCTTGATATAAGTTGCAATAGCTTGATATAAGTTGTAATAACTTGATATAAGTTGTAATAGCTTGATATAAGTTGTAATAACTTGATATAAGTTGTAATAGCTTGATATAAGTTGTAATAGCTTGATATAAGTGGTAATAGCTTGATATAAGTTGTAATAGCTTGATATAAGCTTGATATAAGTTACAATAGCTTGATATAAGTTGCAATAGCTTGATATAAGTTGTAATAGCTTGATATAAGTTGCAATAGCTTGATATAAGCTTGATATAAGTTGTAATAACTTGATATAAGTTGCAATAGCTTGATATAAGTTGCAATAGCTTGATATAAGCTTGATATAAGTTGCAATAGCTTGATATAAGTTGCAATAGCTTGATATAAGT